GTGTTCTTTGTACCACCCTCCATCAGTTTCCAGGCAACCAAAGCTCATAGCCTCCTGCCCCTTTAATATACAAGCAAAGTCTGTGCCTCCTCTGTGTTCCTCCAGACATTGCCTTCTGACCATTGGATTTACAGGGTGCTCTCTGATTTTATAAGTGGACATAATCGAGAAGAGCCTGAATTTGGGCCAAATCTAAAGTTCACTGCAAAGACCAAATAAGTCTTGTCAGTAGTCACCCTGAGGACAAAGCTGAAATTAGCTTCACCTTTCCAACCCCACTTTACCTGAACCACCAGAAACAGCATTATCCCCACCGGGGGAATTATTTAAAAGGGTCCTAAGGGGGGGGTCCCAAAATAATCTCTGCAAGACAGCCTTGTTCTCCAAGATCCACTGTCATGTACAAAAAATAACAAACCTTCATGTTCTAAGAAAGTCTGTTCAGACTTTTGGATGAAGTGCACATCGGGCTGAGAAAGAGCTGGCAGAGCGATAGAAATTTCTCAGGTCCAATAATTGGGCAAATTAGGGCCCATCCCCAAGATTGTTTATTTTGTGTCTATAATATAGAGCAAGAGGGAAGTGGCAGAATATAAAATTTTAAGCTCGCCACAATAACAATAGTATCACAGAAAGTGTGCTTCTGGAAAAGATCATACAAAAGCAAAAACAAGTAGCTGTGTGGAAATAGTGGGATGGATGAGGTGGTCTGTTAGTCTAATCATCAACATATCATACATATCAATAAAAAGGCATTGGGGCTTCTTTTTATTTTGGGCTTGTTTTCATCAGAAAGCAGTTTTTGAATGCACCTATGCTGGCCACGTTTTAAATAACTTGGCAGCTACCTTTAATAACAATTGAGATGCTTCTGAGAAAAGAAGGAAAGTGGGCTTTGAGGCCAGGGTATGGAAGAAGATTGGGGAAAAAAGATAAGGTGAATTTAATGAACCCGAATAAAAGGGTCAGACCCGTGAAACAAATTGAAGACAGAATGTGGTTAGGTGCTAGTGAAATGAGTTTTTAAAAGAGCATTTTTACAGGGTGCCTCTTTTAACAAAGCCAATTAAAGCTCTAGGAGCCTCTGTTTAAATGGGCCGCCCTGCTTGACCCCGTAGCGAGGTCTGCTCGCTGCAGACGCAGGCTGAGTGAGGCCCTCTGGGAACACCAGGCTCCAGGTTGGCTGCCCCGTGATTGGATCAGCCAATTGTACTTCCCTTCTGTTACCCCTAGGGTCCTTCTCTAGGAGAATTGAGTCCCTGTCCATCCAATCTGCCCGATAATTCAGGGACAGTCAGTCAAGCTAGCGGATCAGCATCACACAAACTGAACCAATTCCACAAGTGTCTAAATGTTCACTTTTCAGCAGATGGCTTTGGTGCTTTATAGAAGACGTCATTAGAGCACCGACTCTTGTGCCCTGTCTGTTCCCTAGGGTCACAAAACAGTCAGCTTTACCCACCTCTGCAATCCCACCAATTTTGGACACATGGGAGCAGACTCCAACCCCCCCCCCAATAAAGGCTCCAGGTATCCTGAGTACCTCCACCAGCTACATCCCTTAGCCAAAACTCAGGAGACCCCGAGGAAGCCATTTAAAGGCTCCTACCGATTTTCTTTTCCGTCTCGTCCTTAGAGGGGCGTCTCCCATGCCATCCTCAGCTTTCACAGACTCTGGGTAAACCTGCTGACCTCTAATCGACTCTGCAGATCAGAATCTGAGGGTCGAAATGGATCTTAAAGGCAATCAGATTCAAACTCCTTTGTCCAGTTGAGGAAACCAAAGCCCAGAGAGGTGGAGTGTTTCGTTCAGAGTGTGCACACAGCTTTGCCAGAGCTAGCAAACCGGCTCCTCTGGCCACAGGTCCCAGGCACTGCCCTGCACACTGCCTTGTCCACCTTGTGCTCTGATCGCGCAAAAGGTGAATCTGAAATTTTCCAGAAAAAAATTCCTAAAGAAATATCTTTTCTTACCCCTTCTGAAGTCCAATACACTTTTTAGCCAATAACTCTGAAGGACCCATGGAAATTTCTACTCCAGAGCACCTCAGCTTCCTGACATCAGTGCCGTTCAGCTTGAACACACGTCCCATTCTCATGGGTGCCGTTCTCCCACCGCACTGCTTGTTTGCTGCACAGCTGAGTAGTCTGGCCCTTTGAAACACTGTCCAGTTTAAATAAAGGTAATAATCACATATTTCTAATAAGAGCACAGTTGCCTGCTCCTTAGGACAAATCATTGTATTTAAAATCTTACTATTAAAAAACAAAGTAAGAAAACATTGGAGTTCATCATTCCCATCTCTGCAGTTTATTCAACAGATTTAAGAGAATCCTGGCAAGACGTAGGCTGCCTTCCTGCCTCTATCTTCAGGTGACACCCCCAATGCAGATTCAGCCTCTCCAAGCTGAAAGCCACCGCACTCGGTCAGTTGCCCAGTAAAAAAGCCAGGGCGAGAACGTGCGGTCTCTAAACACCCAGGCTCCTGCCCAGGGCCCCACCCACAACAGAAACGATTGTTGCTTTAATTCTACCAGAAAGCCATTTTTATAAGAGAAATGGGCTGAACTGCAACAAGACGGTGTCACTGAAAATCAAGTCTAACTTTATATTTGGTTCCTTAAAACTTCGGCATTGCCTCTCGGCTGGTTCTACGATGGAATTCTTGGTGTCCACCCCACCCAGAGGTCTTTGCACATCATGTGTCTTTGAAATAGCTTAGAAATGACTCCATCTGAGGTGGGGGGGGGGAGACTGAATAACTTTTTAATGATTTGTATAAATCTCTGTGTTTGAGGCTTTAACATTGAACAGGGTTCTTAATACTGGGCTTTCCAAAAAGCAAGATGGTCTAAAGAACACAACCCAGGGCTAAAATCCCCTGATTTGGAGGTAGGGCTGAGGGATGTGAGGAGGAAATAAAATGTGACAAGATTCACAAAAGCTAAGTTTCACTTCGTAGCAGTGAACTTTGGCCCACAGCACTCACATTCTGACCTGGGGACCTGATATGAATTCCTTCCAGTTTCCAATTCGCTAATTGAACACAGTTGAGTAAATATTCTAACCTCTCAGTTTTCATTTTGTCTCAACCTCTCAAGGAGTCCAAAGGTATAGAAAGCGGATCTGGGTAAACTTGGTAAATTACTGGGAGTATTAACAGACAATTCTAAGTGTGAAGGTACAAGGCTTCACACAGTCCAGGAAGGCCCAAGGCATTTCCATTTGGGAGTTCACGATATATCTCAACAAATAAATAAAAATGTTATAAAAGGGTTGTGGGACTACAAATACATGCTTATGAGCACAAAAGAAAAGACATCAATGAATTTGAGACCTTTCGTACATATGGCACCTGGACCAAAGGCAGTGTTCTGCCCACAGCCCCCCCACAAAGGTCCAAACTGGCGCCCCCCATCTCCAACAGTGACACAGAGAACTCACAGCACAGTTGTGCCCTCAAAGTTACTTTCTTTTAAAATGCCTTGCAAAATACTTCGGAAACATGGAAAAGAATTGTCTCTATTATATTTATTTTTTCAAATGCGACGACAAACTTCCAAATAACCCTCATTTCACGTTTCATCACTGTTTTTAATATTTATCCACATAAGCCCTTAGTGATTAGTGGGGAAGTGACGCAACCCCATAGGACTTCAGATTAAAATATGGAATGAATGAGTTATTTTATAGTCTCAGAATTCCAGGTCTCACAAAGAGGACAAGTGGGGCCTTCTGGAAACTCCAAATGCAGCTATTAATGCCACTCTTAAAATTTCTTGAGAGCCTTTTCTGATAGTATCACTTATCCATGCAGTTCACCCTAATAACATGACTTCCTCTCTCCTACTAGAAATCTACTCTTCCCTGGACCTCGGTTGAATTAGCACATGGCCACGTACGATCCCCAACTACCCTTTTATACAGGGAAAGGCTCTATCTTTGCACATCCTCACACCCATGCCTCCAGAATCAACTCCTGAATTAGGCCTTTCATCAGGAAGTACTCCAAATCCAAACATTCCCATTCTAACTGCTACCAAGGTTAAAAAAAAAAACACCCATGCACTAAGACTCACAGACTCTTTTGCTCTTCATCTTAAAAAGACACATGTTCCCACAATACTGGGAGCATACTAAATCTTGGTAAAAATAATGGCAAAAATGTCACTTTCTCGACTCGGTGTTGTTATTTACCAGCAAGGTTAATTCACCACTGTTCCCAGCTTCATCCACCCGGGGGCCAATATTTCTCCATGGTGTCCAAACACAACCCAGAGAGTCCCTGACTTGGAAGTCACTTGGTGCTGCTGACTCACGTCTGCCCCTGTGGTCATAGTAGCCCATTATAGAACAAACAAAGGCTTAGTTTTTCACCTTGAGATATGGCAAAACGCTTGGCCAAAAATTTTTTTTCTGGACAAAGTCATTCTTAGGTGTGTAGCTCTCCACAGTGCCCTTGCCTCCCTGGGTTGCCTGACCACTTTCTCCAATATGGACGGGAATGCCCTTGCTTATTTCCAGCCATTTTCTGACACCAGAATATACTGAAAATGACTCTGCCCTTCCCTACCACTAAGTCAGAAAAAGGACCAGCAGAAGACATCTCCAGAAAGTGAGAACATGAGGCCCACCAGCTATTGAGCCAACCAGCTCTTCCCCAAGCTAGCTGCCTGCTTGGTTCAGAATTCAACCCAGAGAAATGGCTTTGAGACACAGACAGAGGGAGACCAAGGGCTTCTAAATCCATAGTGTCTGGAAATCCAGACCAATGCAAGGAATTTACAGGTAACAGCCAAAGTAGCCTGACTGCCCCCCCCCCCCCAAATACAATTCTATTAAGACCCAGTGAGGTAAGCTCAGGTGAGCCAAGCTTACTTCCTGCCTGCTGCCGCCGGGAGTCTGCTTTGGTTTCATCTGTCTGATTCACGTTAGACTTCTCTTTCCACTCAAGGGGTTGAACTCAGGTTCAAAAGAAGTTTTAAAAATAAGGACTTACCTCATTTACTAAAGATTCTGGGTGGGAAATCCAATAGCTGTGGCTAATGGAGGGGAGGCAGCAGGCAGCCCTCACGCCAGCTCCTACGGGAGTGGGGAGCCAGGGGTGTTATCGTGCCTGAGCCCTCATCAGAGTGAAGATAAATGCATATGACAATAATTTTAAATCATTTTGTAGGATGTTAAGCAATAAGCCACCAACCGGGAATTCCCTAAGTCACTTCCCCCTCCTCTGATTGGCTGCCGGGCCCTTTAAAAAAAATAAAATAAGGGATTACAAACATTGGCTCATTTGCATTTGGCCAACTCACACGTTAGTGTTCAAACAAAACAGGTCTAACCAGGTTATGCCTGTGTCTCAGGAACAGAGAGACAACCTGTTAATGGATGAGGAATTGATTTGGTGGTGACTGTTCTTTTTAGCTTAGAGGCTGTTTCAGGTGAAAAGCACCCATATGCACTCCCCAAAGACACCCTCAGGAAGGGAGACTATAAAAGCCAAGCGAGCAGAAATTCAGATCTGGAGGAGACAATAGTACAGGGGAATAACATCTGTCTCACTTACTAATCTATATTTAGTCCACTCTGTTTTGGCATCGAGATCTTTCCCCTGGCTGTGCAGGTGCCAGGTTCTGAAGGGGCTCCCCGCCGGGCGCCCCACAGCCAGCATAGCTTCTCTGGTTGGGCACCAAGATCGCCTCTATGACAATGGCCTTTGGCAGTTCCAATGGACTTTGAAAAGCCAGCTCCCCTAGTCCCAGGTAAGAGACTTGGGAGGAAGTTTAACGACGGGAGGGTCCCAGAAGAGAGGGTCCCCTCTGAGTCCTTGAGATGGAATAGTCATCTATCAACAGTGCGGGGGCTGACTGTCCGGTTGTCGGATTATCTAGGTTCTTTATTTCATCTTGACACTTGCGTTGTCTTTTTAACTATGTGTATCGACACTCCCTAGAGGAGGTACAGAGAGGAAAAGACCAAGATGCTGAGACTGGAAATAAAATAACACGGTTTGGGCAAGAGCCCCTGTGGAGGCTTTATGGATTTTAAATGCCCATGCAGTCCCCATCCCCTTGGGACAAAGGCCTGCTTCCCTGGGTCACCAGTGCACACCCACCCACACAGGTGAGGGACTGTTCCTGGCAAGGACTCTTCCTCTCCTAACCATTAACTTTCTCTCAGGTCTTTCTGGCCAGTGGCCTGGCATGAGCTAAGCATCTGAGCAGATTTCTTTAACTTGTCAGGCCACCCCTCTGTGGGAAAGAAGAGAGAAATTGAGTTTTGGCAAAGAGACAAAGATTTTATGATTAAATTCAAGAAGTTCCTTGTGTGATAAAGAAAAGTCGGCGTATGACCAAAGGCTGAACTTGACAAGAAGTAAGCGGTGGTCGTGTTAAGGCGAGTGAGCAGTAGTAACGTTCCTCTCTTGTTTGCTTAGTTTCCTAGTTTATGCAACGCGATGCCAAGTTTTCTGAAGGTAGAGAAGACTCGGTAGAAGGGCAGGGGTGGGTTTGGGAGCGTCCTGGAACCCAGGCAGGTATGGGAGGGTTTAAAATTTGGGAGTACAATATCGGTAGGCTCTAAAAAGCCCCTCTGCCTCCCTACCTCCACTAAACACTCTCCACCATCCCCTCCCCTCAGTCACTATTTCCCAAGGGCCCTGTAAAATGTAAATGCCTGATAAAAACAGTAAATGTCATTATTGCTCATTATCACATTAGCCCCAATTAGCCTATCAGCTCCAAGATCTGAGAGCAGGGGCTGAAGGAGTAGCCCGGTGACTTTTTTCTTTTCTTTCTCTCTCTCTTTTTTTTTTTTTTTTGCTTGTGTGATGAATCATGAGTAGCAACTGAAGTAGCAACTCCACCCACTACAGGGTGTGTGTGTGTGTGTGTGTGTGTGTGCGTGTGTCGGGGAGGCTGGGTATTATTAGCACCAGTGTGACTCTTTCACAGTTTTGCCTGAGATTAGGGAGAGCAGGGAGGTGCAGGGTTGTGTGGTCAAGAGGTGGTGAACTTCAAAAGCAGCTCCAAAAGTGACGTCACTCTTTGGCCCAGTGCCAACGACCTGTAATTATAAGCCCTTTATTTTCTAGCTGAAAAGCTCCAGTTACATCTTCATTTCTTCATCTATCTTATCCTGCCTGGTTGAGGTCAGAGGACTGCTCCTTTAACACACTCGGAGAAGTCACTTTGGGATGGTAGAGATGAAAAGGGTTGGAAAGATGTCATCTCATCCTCATAAGCCAATGTATTTGTGGAGTTTTTATGTATATAAAGTACTTAAGAATGTGTCTGGTACTGAGTGGGTACCTGCTATTGGTTATCTTCTTTGCCTGAGACTTAGTTGAACCTCCCAGAAGGAAAACAAATACAACACCCCCACTTCCCAAAAACTAGATTTTTAAACATGTTGCATGCATAAAGAAATTCCTTTGGAGTTTATGTGTACGAGGTCTTTTACCCTATGGTCAACTTCAACAAGATAACACTTGCATCAGGATAGATGATAGGTAGGTAGATAGATAGATAGATAGATAGATAGATAGATAGATAGATAGAAGTTCTGATATTTAACTGAGAATGCTAAAAGTTGAATTTGATGCTGAGGTCTCCAGTTGGAAGAGCCTCAAATATTCAAGCATGTCTCTCATAGATAAGAAGTTTAAAAGTATAACCCCCAAAATGTTATACATACCAGAACCTTTATATGAACACATTATTAGTTTCCTAAAAGTCATAATCTTCTTGAGTAGAAATTTCCATAGGCAAGAGTCTCACTATCATGTCAGACTTGAAGCCTAGAATAGATTGCATTTATTCTAAGGTCCCAGGATTCTTAGAGACTGATAAAGACACAGGTGAAGAAGTCAAGTGATGAGACAAAGCTAATTGCCTGGGTTTTACGGATGGGAAGATTTCAGACAGTGAAGCAAAGCAGCTAGCCCTTAGGTCAAGATCAAGATAACCCTGGAAACTGGAATGAACTCTACAGACGCAAATGCTCTGCATAGAAACCTTCCTGGTCTTCTCTACAGGCCCTTTCACTGTCTCCGACCTGCACAAAAGCACGTAGGACTTGATGGAGCCCTGGTGCTGGTTCCCACTGAGGAAAAGGGGGTGGAGCAAACCAAACTAGGTTGTCTGTGGCAGCCTGAGGACTCTGCTTTTGGTTGGATTATTTACTAGAAGATATACATCACAGAACCAAAGAAGCCAAGGGACCTAAATTCCAAAATCAAGGCCAAGACAAAGAATCACTCTAAGCCAAGTATCAAGCCCTAGGGGGTCTGAGTCTTAATACCAACACAGGCTGTGGTTACAAGGTTAATGAGAATTGTGTGCTTGCCTTACAAGAAAGAGGATGGTTGCTTACTTTACACAGCACCTTTAAACTAGAAGCCCTATATTTATTTTTGAAGGCAAGTGTGTTCTTATATGTGTTTCTGTCTATCATTCCCTCCTGATGACATGGAGTTACCTCCAGGGCAGAACAAATATTTGGTAAGAGCCACATAAGAATATTACTGTAAGAGTGATGGGATCAAGAATTTCTGTCTAGTGTGGGGGAGGGGATTATATAGAGTAGAATATTATCATCAATCATCCTGCAGAGCATCAAATAAGGAATTAAAGTTAATAAATACAATCTTGTCTCTTACCCTGCCCCCTACTAGAAGCCACATTTTCAAAAATCTTTATGCTTTGGCTTACATTAGATTCCTGGTGCTCTTTGAATCTTCTTAGGAGAAGCATAGCACCTGAGTTTTATTTGGAAGGCCTGGCATTGACAGCTGTCCTAACAGATTTGTGTGGCACCCCCTGATGGTGTCTTTGCTGTCACATCTGTGCCTCCACGCTGAGCAAATCCTCTGCCAATGGCACATAGCACTGAATTGCTGGGTTAGGGGACAATCTCGGGGCTGGAACGGGGAGGGTGGCTCACTGTTTTTGGAAGTAATGACCCATTACACACACACACGATCTTACTGTGTCCCCAATGTTACCTACATACCAAAGATGAATTTTCTAAACTTCCCTTTATATTTTAAGTATTCCCAGCACACTTCCATTCATGCCTAACTTAACTCACCCCTGTGTTATTACTTCTGCCTCACCTCTACCTTATTATCTCTTTCTGGCCTTATCTTTCCTCACAAATAGCTGTGCACAGTGCCCTGACTTAATGCCAACTTCATTGCCAACTTCATTTTGAATCAAACTGGGACTCTAAAAAGTTTTTCTACCAGGTCCTCAGAAAGGCTCATTTCTCAGCCTCAGAAAAGCAGGCAAGATGAGGCAAAAATTGGCCACTTCTGAACATCCTTCTTGCAGCCAGTATTGTCTTCTTTTTTGTGTGGGGAAGAGTATCTTACCATTATAGCAGTTGGTTTTACACATTATTTTAGCATTAAGTAATCCCTGGGACCCCCCAAATATAGAGTAGACTAAAGAGATGCTACTGCACAGGTGTCAGAGGGAGGCAGCTGCCGCTGTCAGGGACCGGTTGCCCCGCCCCTCTCCCACAGGCACCCTGCTCACCTTTACAAATTCAGATTCTTGAGTCCCTCCTCACACCTACCAAATTGGCACCTCCAGAGAGTGGAGTGATAGTAGAGACAATAATCAATTTTGTGTTCATCACCATCCATTCAGATTGTGTGGACTCCCATATCATACCACCAAACATAAATCAGAAGACCTGGTGCCTGCCCTCCAAGGAGACGTTTTAAGCAAGCCGGCCTTGGGCGAGGATCTCAGTGCTTGGTCTCTTTCACCCAGAGACCATGAGAGATAGCAAACTCTCAGACCCAACTAGAAAATGTGTAAAATTACCATCCAAATGTCTAATTATTTTGGAGAAACAGTGAATTTGGAAGACTAGGGGAGCCCAGAATCTATTTCTTCACCTTAAAAAAACAAGGTGGCTCAGCTATCTCAGAAGTAGAAAGGACATAGGTTTTAAAGCCAGACAGACCAAGACAAACCTTGTCACATTTGCTTAAAATTTAAGTCTCACTTTCCCTACCTATCTATGAGGGATGTGTCTCGGTGAGCTGTTTGGGAAGTTAAATGAGAAACTGTGTAAAGCATTAGCAGAGTGCTCAGTACTTGGTGGGCGCTCAGAAAATGCATGCCCCCTCCTGTAAGTATGGAGCTTGGAT